ACTCTGAAACAGGCTCCAGGCTCTGAGCTGGCTGTCAGCACAGAGCCCGACGTGGGGCTCGAACCCATGAGATCATGACCTAAGCGAAAGTCGGACGCTCAACCAACTAAGCCACCCAGGCGCCCCTCCAGAGTCCTACTTTTGCTCTAAGTCCATCTGCAAGAACTAGTCACAAGGCCCCAGCCAGCTGCAAGGTCAGGGCTGGGAAATGTTCTCAGCAGCAAACAGGCATCTTTGGTGATCAGCAAGCCGACTCCTCACACGAAGAGACAGAGACAAGAAACTGAATAAGCAAAGTACTTATTATGTTAGAAGGTGATAAATGCCTTGGACGAAAAGCAGGGAAAGAAATATAGAGCACATGGGGCCCAGATGGTTGCGCATTCGACTTTGGCTCAGGTCACGGTCTCTTTGAGTTCGAGCCCTGCGTTGGGTTTGCTGCTGTCAGGGCAGAGCCCGCCTTGCATTCTCTTTCCCCCTCTCTCTGTCCTACCCCCACTCATGCTCGCTCTCTCTTAAAAATGAATAATAAAAAAAAATACAGCGTGTGTTTGAGGAATATTGAAATTCACGGAACGGTGAGTAGACTCACTGGGGTGAGCAAAGGCTTGAAGGAGGTGAGGAAGTGAGTTATGTGGACATGTTACTGGAGGAGGGGACACTCAAAAAGGAGGCTACCATGGCTGAGGCAGAGCAAGGGCGAGAGAGGTGGGCGACGGGGTCAAAGAGAAGAGGCTGATTGTGTGGGACTCTGGTTTCTTTTCTGAATGGGCAAGAGAGGAAGGAAATCAGAGGATCACGTGCAGAGGAGACAAAGGATTTGATATGCCTTTTAGCCAGACTGGCTGTAGCAGCTACCTTGAGAACGCACTGGAAGGCGCTGAAGGGGAGAAGGTGACCGTGGACTGGACCAAAGTGGCAACGATGGTTGCGATGAGAAACAGCAAGACTTGGGATATGTTTTGAAGGCAAAGCAGGATTTGCAGATGGACTGGAGGTGGAGTTTGAGAGGAAAATTGGAGAGAATGTGACCTGAGCAATTTCAAGGATGGAGTTGCCAAGAATGGAGCTGGGGGAGACCGTGGTGGAGTGTATTTGTGGGTGGAGATCAAGAACTTGGTTCTGGACACATGGACTTTGAGATGTTTATGAGAGATCCAAGTGGGAAGGCCAAGAGTCTGAGGCTCAGGAGAAAGCCCTAGACTCGAGCTGTAGGTTGGAAGTCCTACTTTAGGGTAAAGATGGTATTTAAAGCCTTAAGACTGAGATGGGGGCTCGGGTGTGTGTGTGTGTGTGTGTGTGTGTGTGTGTGTGTGTGTGTGTGTGTCAGGGAGTGCAACAAACAAGAAAGACCCATGGACAGTGGCTTGGGGTTGAAAAGAAGGTGTAGCCAATGAGGGGGATGGGGAGCCACTAATGTTGGCCAAGGAGCCTGTTTTCACCCCACTTCATTCCTATCTGCCCATCTCTAGTTGTGGGTGGTCAGCATGGCCTGCAGATGGGATGGCGAGCCCTCAGCCCTTCCTTCCATGCTTCAGCACTGTTTCACCACCACCACCCCACTCTGATAAACATGTGGTTCAGGGGTCCCTGGCTGGCTCAGTCAGTGGAGCAAGAAACTCTTGATCTCCGGGTTGCGAGTTCAATCCCCATTCTGGGGGTAGATGTTACTTAAAAAAAAAAAAAAAATCTTTAAAAAATGTATGGCCATTCATTGAACAGATATTTTGCTAAGCCTCTATATATGTGCTAGGCCTTGGTCTTGGCCCTGAGTGAACAAGCCAGAGTGAATAAGCCAGTCTGCATGGAGCTTACACTCTAATGGGGTTGGTACAGATAATATAATGCAGGGTAAGAGAATAGAGAGTGACCTGCTCTGGTTAAGAGGATCAGGAAAGCCATCTTGGAGGAGGTGACATTTGAGCTGAGAGCCGAGTGTTGAAAAGATGATGGTCATTGGATCTGGGGCAACTGGATTCTCAGTGGAAAGAAGCCTGGAGTGTTGCGGGGGAAGACAAGGCCAGCACGCCGCTTCATGGTAAAGGAGGGAGGGACGCAAGATCCACCCCACAGAAGAGCCGGCAGGCCACAGTTAGGCATTTGAATTTTATTCCAGTTGTTAAGGGGCTGCCTTTGATGGGGTTAAGCAGAAGAGTCAAGTATTCCATTAACATTTCAGGCATGCCACAGGGTCAGTCGGATGGAGAATGGACTGCAGCGGACCCAGCGGAGGCCGGGAGATGAGTTGCCATGTAAGTCAGGCAACAGGTTGTATGTTGGACATGGATGGAGCAGGGCGCACCCTGGACTAGAGGAATGGGTCAGGCAGCCACAGAACAAATCGTGCGCCTCTCTGGGTCAAGGCTTACGTAAGGCAAAGAAAGGTACCTACTAAAGAAACGTCTGAAAGGGACAGTCCTTGCTGGTGTTTGATTCAGTGTTTAATTATAGGACACTCAGACCACACACCTAAAGGGCTATGTAAACACACAGCAACCATTAAGTAAGTACATAGGACTGTCTAAGCAAGTGTTAAGAGGACTGGAAACGGAGTAAGTGGTGCCTGAAGAAGATGGTGAGGGAGCTTGGGGCAAGATGAGGGCAAAGTACAGGCTAACAGCAATACCTCCCGGCCCCCTCCCCCTAGGTGGGACACTATGATACTCCTTGGACACTCCCAGCTACCCAAAAACAGGAAAGGACAAAGAACAGATGAATCTGCACCAGTTTACAAGAAAAAGACAATCCTATCAATGGCCTAAAGTCCAGGAACTCCCTACCAGTCTTAATGTTAATGCTTTGCTAGAGGGAAAAAAAAACAACCTTAGCTTGACAATAGCTAGGTCTGCAGTAAGTCTTTAGCATGTCAAAGTCTCTTTGGAAACTCCCTTCGGATTTTTATCTCCCCTAACTCCATAAAATAGTCACCCCCGACACACAGGCTGTGCAGCTCTTCCGGCCCAAGGGTCCAGTCCCCAGGCTTTAATAAAGCCACCTTTTTGCATCAAAGAGGACTTCAGGAATTCTTTGTTGACGTGGCCTCTGGACCCCACGAGCGCTCACCCCAAAACCTCATCAAGGACACCTTGGGGGTCTCCTTTAGATCGGAGGGGCAGGCCATTTTTCAGAGTCCTCTGGGTCCCCCCTCCCTAGTTCACAGGCCTCGCGTGGACGCCTGAGCCGTACAGCTAAGAACCTGGCTCCAGGCTTCAGTTTCCCAAGCTCAGAGAAATGGGTGACTCAGGGGAGGTCCCTCCCCAGCATGCCTCGTTCTTTGTCGGGAGTGACTCATTACCTTGTTCCCTCCCTCATGGCTGACCCCGGGCCAATCCCTTAATGAGTCTACACCTCATTCTACTCATGGGGCCGGGACAATTGCCCGGTGGAGGATTTTTTTTTTTTTTTTTTTTTGCTCCCTGGGGGCAGGGCTCGTGTCCGCAACCATCGAGGTTCCTCGAGAGAGAGGCTGTCGTAGGGTCTGGAGCAGAGCAAAACCCTAGGGTAATCCCAGGCCCTAGGCACTCTCCGTGCCCAGAAGAGGGCTTTAAAGCCCGTGCATTCTTCTGATGTCAGAGCCTTTCAACAGCATTTAGTACGGAACACAGTTTCGCAAGCACGGATTTCTTAGAGGATTCTCCCTTGGTCATTTCTTTGTAAACGCTTGCTTGTTGGGAGGGGTGGCGGGAAGCAATCAGAGTCGCCGGGAAGGGCAAGGGCTGGGGGCCTGACAGCGAGGCTTCAGGGGACGTGGGTTAGGACCACTGCGCTAGAGTGCGCACGGGCGGTGTGCTCGCCGCGCTCAATCGATAGCCGGCGGCGGGTATCGGGGAGAGCTCTGCGCCCTACAAACAGTCCGCGGCCGGGAGGAGAAGAGGCCCCTGCGGCGTGCGTGGGCTGCTCGCCCCGAGTCCCGTAGCCCCCTCCTTATAGCGTACCCCCGCAACTCCGGACGGCCCCCCCAACCCCCCGGCGGGAGTGGCGCCCGCGGTGCTCCCCTAGCTCAGCCTCCGGGGCTCGCCGCCCCGCCGAGACCCGGCAGGTGGACCCCGGTGGGCGCACCCTCCTTCCAGCCCTGGACTCTCTCCGCTCGCGGACTCTCCCGGAGCCCCGGCGCGCCCCCCCCGTCCGGGCCGGAGCCCGCAGCCTGCGCCCCCGAGTTACCTGCCCCAGGAAGTCACAGTCCACACTCAGCCGGGACTGCAAAAGGGTGGATAAGGCAGTGCCCAAAGCCACATTCCTAGGGGAGGCGTCCCGAGCCAGAGGGTCGCGGATCACGTTACCAGCCGAGGGGAGGAGACAGCAGGAGGGAGAGCAAACGGGTAAAAGTTGCATTTAGCTTCTTACTCCCCCCCCCAACCCCCAAACACGCTTTGACGCCGGTTGACTCGGGGACAGTGTCCGCCCAGGTCCTGGAGCCCGACGGCCCCGAAGCGCTTTGCTAGGACAGAGGCAACTTTCCATCCGCGGATGCCGGAGTCAGAGCGCCTACGGGGCTGCGAGGCTCCAGGGCCCGGCAGGCGACCCCCGGCTGCCTCGGGGCAGGGCGCCGGCCACGAGCCCGCCTCCGGGCACCGAGGATCTAGAGCAGTAACAGACGCATAAATGCGCATAAATAAATCAATGAGCAGCTCTCTGCTGCCAGCAGCAGGGAAACCTCGGGCTGATTAAATGCAGACGTGGGGTGTCTGCCAGGGCAGGAGGGCGGCGGGGCAAAGGGAACAGGCGTGGAGGCCAGGGGTGGGGGGAAGGGAGCCCAGAGGCAGGAGCAAAGAGGAAAACCCAAAGCCACATTTTTTTAAATGGGGGTGAATTTTAAATGCAAACAGCCCGGAGGAGGGGAGGGGGCCGGTCTGCAGGCGCCCGGGCCGGCCCGCCAGCCGGGGCAACTTTCCGGGCGGGAGGTGCGGCCGGAGGGGCGGCGCCGGCGGCGGGAGGCGGGAGTCGGGGGCCGAGGGGGGGAGTCACTTTAAAGGCTCTTTCTTACCCATAATGCTTTGTGGGGACGTTGACAAGTGGATCCAAGATGGCGTAGAAAGTAATGACAGGTAAGTCCTGACTTCCCCCTTCTCTGCTGCTGGGACCGCTCCGCGAGCTGCCGGAGCCCTCTGGGGAGGAGACCTGACTCCCCTCCGGTCCCCGGGGCCCCGGGAGGGGCGGCCCTCGGACGGGCTGGGGACTCAGGCGGCCGCGGCGGGGCCTGGGAAGCGGGGCTCTTCGAGGCGAGGCCCGGACGCTGGGGCTGTTTACAGCTTCTTCCCCTCCTCGGTCCCCTTCCCCTCCGCTGGGGGCCGCGGCGCCCGGGGCCCAGGCGGTGGAGGAGGCTTTGCAGACCTGGGCCGCGAGCCTGTGGGAGGTTTCTCCAGCCGCGGGCACTCCGGTGTGTGTGGGGGGGGGGTCGAGCCGCCTTGCACGCTGCCCTCCTCTGGGTCGCGGCTGGGGGTGGGGAGCGTGCGGGCCTCCCACGCCCCGCTCGATCGCCCCCTCAGGGCTCGGACTCGCAGCGGGGGGGGGGGCGGGGGCCGAGGGTGGGCGTCGGCAAAAGTGGGTCAGGGGTGCGCCCCCTTCCTCCCCCGCCCAGGGCTGTTGCCCGAGCTTCACTTCCCCCCCTTTCTCCGCCCCCTCCTCGGAAATTCTCATTGGCCCGCAAGCGCATCAACAAAAATAAAAACAGACTATCTTTTCCGGGAGATTCTTTTGAGACTCCCCTTTCTTAGGGCTGAGGGACTGCAGATTTATTTAGGGAATTTTGATTCCTCTCCCCTCAAATTATTTGAGCTTTCTGCACCCTACACTTAGCTGAGGATCCTTCAGACAGGGCTGGAAGCCAAGGGCCTTAGGATTCTTCTTGGATTGGGATCCTTCGGTTTTGTTTGAAACTCAAAATTGTTATTCCTTCTCCTTCACAACTTAGGCTTTTCGGGCAAATCGTTAATATGTATAATTCTAGAGACAGTGGATGCCGCGTGTGGGTGGGAGGTGGGATGGGGAGGGAGGGGTTGTCCTGGCTAGTTTGTTCTTAATTTTGCCCTCTCTTAAACTTATATTAATGAGGTTTCTTGCCCTGTATTTCTTTTTTTTTTTTCCTTTTATGAAAGTAAGACCAGTCAGTGTTGAAAGAGATGACTCTGTGTGTGTGTTTACGTTTTGGATCTTAAGAGAATTTTATAGTCTATTCTTCCATCAGGTTGAAAAGAGAAGTGTTTTTATTTTAAACTAGAACAGAATCCTTTACAAAATTGCTTGCTCTACCATCTTGGTAACTTTTTCCATTTATACTTTAGAAGCCCTTTCACTTGGGGGGCTGATAGAGTATTTGCTACTGACGATGTCTGTCATTGGTTGGTGTTGTACAGACACATTTTACTTTTCTGTTTGCCTCAGGAATTGGATGAAGTAATTCATCACTAAAGAACTACGGTGCTGGTGAGATGTGTAAGGTGAGACTGGACTTAAGAATGATTTCCCTTTTCCCCTTCTTTATTTTAACTAATGCATAGGGGTGAGGCTGAAACTAAGTAAATTGATGGAACTATCTTTATTTTCCAAACATCTCAACCAATCAAATGGGTGTAGAGGCAGGGCTAGATTTAGGAAGGAAACGTGTCAACCATAGTGGAGCTTATCCACAGCCAAATGCTATTTGCAGCTCTCCTTGATCCGATGTCTTCATCAGGGGTTCACTGTATTTAAATTTCCTTGTGTCATTCTAACTGGATGTCTTAATTTCTCGTGTGTATTGGCAGCCATCACCCACTCCACACTGAGTGTTAGGGATTGTTTCTGTGGATTTTGTATGTCCACAGTTCCTGGGACTCTTGTTAAGCACAACCTTTTCCATTGGAAAGATTTATTTTAGGCAGCAGTCAGTCACTCCTTTTATTTTCTAAAAACTGGAATAGTACTTGTCACAGGGTTATTTTGAAATAAAAACGAGTGTGTTGAGTTTTGAGCTTGTTAGGGGCTAAGACTGGTTTGTCATCTTTTGGCCACACGTGACGTATGAATTGGAAGCGTTGCTTTAATCTGATTTACAATGCTTTGGATTTAAAGGACATTATTGATAAAGTGTTCGTGAACAGTTAGTATTCAATAAGGAGGAGAGAAGTTGGCTAATTTTACATTTTTCACAAGCACTTTTCTCAACTTTAAAAATGTTTTGTTATGATTTGTTGAGAAAATGTAAAGTTATTATGGAAAATTGGTCACTGTGGGTGTGAGTGTGTGCGTGTGTGTGTGGTTTTCCCCAACACATATGGGTAGTCTTTGCATTTTGAAATCCTCTCACAAACTTTTCCTATCTATCACAATATCTATTTAAGAAGAATAAGCTGTGCTTTATATATTTTTTCAAGATTAAGGCATACTATTGACGTTTTGCCTTACCAAAAAAACAAAAACAAAACCCCCCAAAAAACCCAACAAACAAAAAACCCCCATATACACACAAACTTGGGAGAGGAAGGTGGACATAAATAAATCAAGACCCTTTTGAAGTGCACATGCCACATATGCTTGTGTTTGAAGCTTAGTGCCTGTGCATATTCCATAGATTTTTATTTTTGCTCTTTGCAGAGCAAATGTGGATTTTAAAATTTATTTTCAGCTTACAGATAGAGGCATATTCATGCCTTAGACCTCCCAGTCAAAACCTTTTATTTTTATTTATTTATCTCTTTAATTTTACAGATTATTTTGTGGAAAGGATCCAGTGATCTGTGTTTTGGCCTGTGGAGATATTTGATTGTGGTCTAAAAAATGGAATATTTAGCGCACCTTCTCTGGCTCAGTTGGAGGAGCATGGGACTCTTGATCTCAGGGGTCGTGAGCTTGAGCCTTATGTTGGGTGTAGAGAATACTAAAAAAAATAAAAATAAAAACTTAAAAAAAATTGAATATTTAGAAATAGGTAGTCTCTTGTGGCTGAGTGTCGTGTGGTCTGCATTGTGTCAGTACTTTTCCACAATTTTCATACATGTAGACCATGTAAATTGTCAGTAGTCACTTCAGAGTGAAGTTAGTGGTTGGCCATCAAACAAGTTGTTACACAAAATATTCTAAAATAGGAAATGCCTTAGTCTTAAAGGTTGGGGCAAAGTAGAAGTCTGTCTTTAAGCTGAATAAAGACCTAGCTTTTTTAGTCTATGCTCTTGGCTGAGAAGCTAGGACACTATTTTTAGGTAAGGCTGTAGTTTTGGGGAGTCATTGAGTACTTCTCTATCAGGGGACAGACTTGTTTTTTGCTGCTGTTAGCAAGATTTTTCATTTTCTAATATCAAAAATATTCAGTTATAAATATAAATATTCAGTATACATCTGGGGCCTGGCCAGTGTCGAACGGGGGAGGGGAGAGATACCAAAATGATGGGAGAGACCCTGCTGACCTCCAGAGGGCCTCGTGTAGTTTAAAAATACATGGCATATTCATGAAAGGCTAAGAATATTGCAGAGGGACCTACAAATAAGTAGACCGGATCTTGTACATGCATTTTTATTCCCTGTCCAAGAAAGAGGTAGGCTTGGTATTAATATTGAATGCAAGTTAGTCTGTAATTGTCAGACTGTGTTTAACATCCAAACACAGGCTCAGCACAAGAAATAACATCCTTGGCCTGTTGTTTCAAATGCATAGAAGATTTTGGGCCAAGTTTATTAACTTGTTGATAAACAAGGTAGAAGGAGGGGCTACTTAGAAATTACAAGCAAACTGTTATGGTTGTTGATTCTCCTACACTTAGATAAGTGTGCGTGCAAATACAGTTTGATTTCTAAGTAATATTTTGAAGTATTTTCTGGGAAAGAACTATGTGATGTGTGGAGAATGTGGACATACCAGCTTACGGCTCATTTAAATTGATGGGTGTAGTCAGGATGTGTGTAGCATTGGCCAGCAGCAACGTAAAACATAGTGGTTTGTCACTTCAGCACTGGCGGGGATAATGCTTTTGAGTAAGCCTGAATTTAATAGAGTTATTCCTTTTTTAAAAAATTGTAGATGTTGTGTGAAGACTTTGAATTTCTGTAGGTAGTATAATTTTTAAGAGCTGTCAGCTGTCTAAAACCAGTTGAAAGTTTTTCAGCATACTGCCAGATAGTCATGTCAACTTGTTTACTTGTATAAATTGTACTGGGTCATTTCTCTAAGAGCAGGAAGTTGTCTGGTAAAACCAGAGTTTGTATATTCATCTTGCTTTTGAACCAAAAAAACCCCTGATTCATCATTAGATCTTCAAAGAATGCGTGGCATATTTTTTGACTGAACCATTCTGAAGTGTGAATGTTTGTGATTTTTGTTATTTCGATGCCATGTTTTAGGTGTTCTCAGCACATCTGAATTTGCCTTTTTGCTTTCTTCTGTGGAAATTCTCCTTGTGGTGAAAATATTCCTATAAGGGGAGCTTCCTGTCACTAGGCAAACTGTATATAACTAACATAGTTTTCAAACAGTTGTTTTTATGCAAAACCAATGATGCTGTGGTAAACAAGTGTGAGCAGTACTTAAGTCTATAAAGTAAAGAAGATTAAAAAAAAGAAAAAAGCCTTTGTTCCCTTTCCTCCATCTTTAGTTGTATTCCCCTGAGCTGACCACGGAAAACCGTTGGTGTCATTTGGCTTTTGGAAGACCTCTCTGTCGCTGGGGTGTTTATACTAGCAGTAGGGAAAGCAGGGAGAAGTCAGGGACGACACGGCCACTGAACCAGTTTAGATGTTATACAGGGACTATTATTCTATTTCCTGCTGATGTTAAGTAATACTGATAATCTTAAACCACCATCAGTTTAAGATAAGTGTAATTGAATTGTTAGTGAAACACCCAGTTAATTCCATTATCAGGATGGTACCATTTTGATTTGTTGATCCTTTAAGGAAAAAAATATTTGTGAATTGAATTCATATAACCTTAGGGCTGGGGGTAATGGTGGTAATTACCACCTGTAGAATTTTATGATAAACCGCACAGTGTGTTTACCATAGTCTTTTTATAACTCATTATCTCTCCTTTAATTCTCGGAACAACCCGAAGATATTTGTTGTTATTTCTGTTTTGCTGAGGGGAAAATTTAGGCTAAATGTGAACAACTAGCTAACAAATGTCATGAAGACTGGTAGATCGTGGGGCAGGCCTTCTGTCTCAGAAGGCCCGTGTGCTTTCCATTGGAATGTGCTCTGCTGTTTCTACCTAGTCTGTCTTATTTTCCAGATGAGGAGATTTAGGCCTGCAGAAGTCAAGTGACTTGACCAAGGTCACACAGCTAAGTAATAGCAACAAGAAACCAAACTTTTATCTCTGGTCTCTTATCTCAGGACTTTTGGTCCTGGCTGACTAGGCTACATTTTTCTGAAATACTATGGGCCAAAAGACCATTTGCTGTGAATGTTGGATACAAACGCTTTAGAACTGATACATCAGCAAAAGTGGTTTCTACTATGTATTTAAAAGCTTCCTTTTCTCTCTTTCAGAAATTATAAAGAGCTCTGATGGGCTATTTGGGTGATACCCAGTGCAGTGAGCTGCAGGTGAGTAAGGGTTAGGAGAGCTTTATGTAGAAAACAACAACTTGGCAATGCCTGAGGAGGGGACGAGAGACTTAGCTAGAGTGTCTGGCCAGGGAGACTCAGGTGGGACAGGGTGCGGTGATGCGGGGTGGTGGGGAGACCGTGGAAACCTGAAGATGCGGGTCCTGACTGAATTGGCTGCTTCTGGAACAGACTGGATGGTGATGGACGTATTCTGAAGAGACCGTGGGCCGCTTTGTCAAGAGTTTGTTTGAAAAGAAGTGAGGGTAGGTTAATCTTCTACTTACGTCCTGAATGAGTAACTGCACAGAGACTCATCCTGTCTGCATATGATTAGAAGTTGAGAGGCCCTTCAGTTTCTGCGTCAGCATTCTGGAGTGGTAATCTCCCTGTGCTCCCACGAACATGGCGACATATTGAATAGTTTGTTTTTCCTGTTATCTGCTGTGTGTGTGTTGTCACAAATGACTGTATATTTTTGTGCATCTAGATACTGAGAACACAGCAACAGAAACAAAAGGTTAAACTTTCTTTCCTAATGATTGTATTAATTAGTCCTTCAGATTGCTTATCTTTTGCTGAAATGCCCTGCTAAGAAAGGCAGTTTAATCTTTATTATTTATAATTCACAAGAACTAATTTTCTTGGTGCATTATAGTGTCTTGGCCTCTCATTATTAAACTTAGATGGTGGTGATGCTACAGAAAAAGCAACTAGAAGACGGTTATGATACTGTTCTTGTGGGGGCATCAGTGCTAAAATTATGTTTTGATCCATTTGCAATACTAGTCTTTTATTAGACCTCACCAGCTCAAGGAAGCTTCATCTGTTAATAAAATGACTTGCCATCCTGCCTTATGGCCTCTGGCTGCGTGAGGTTTCTGAGACCTTGCCAGCTACTTTCTACCCATCTGCTTGAAGCTGGAGTTTTTAGTTTTCTGTTCTTTGTAGTTGAAAGAACTTTTCTTTTTTCCTTTTAACTGTGCCTTGGTCTCCTGGCCCTTAGTTCTTTGATTTGTCCATGATTTCATACTGCTTTTTAACTGTGATACAGTCCCTCACTGAGTCGGCAAGTTGGCTTTGAGAATCCCAGAAACTTGAATGTGACAGTACTATATCCTTTCAGGGTTCATAATTGAATTTGGGCTTGGCTCTTTGCTGATTGTCTTTGTTTCTGAGGTTATGCTTGTTTTGCATGATTCATGGGTTCATGGGTATGATCTGAAGAGCATTTGAGGTGGTTTGTGGGTCCTTGGAAAGCTATGGTCTGGGGTTGTCATATAGAGGTCATTGTGAGGAGGAATGGATGAGAGTTCTCAGGTAAGGCCAAAATGAGCTGTGAACGGAAGGGGCGGAACTTTTCTTGAGGTTCTATCGAGCTTGTATCCTGGAACCCCTGGGTTTGCTCAGCATGGGGGCGGACTTTATTTTTTAAGTTAAGAGGAATGGATATTAAATTGCTAAATATTTATATTATTATCATAAAGTAGTTGATTTTCTTTTTGGCATTCCATTAAAAACTATATGCGTAAATATATTTTTATACACATGTATGTGTATATGTATGTGCATACATATATACAAGCATTTATATATATATGCATATATGTACATGTGCATATATTTTATGCGTTTAATTATGCTGCATGTAATTGGAATTTTTTTCTGCTTATTAGATCATGGAACATTTTCATGTTATAGGTGTCACAATTTTAATTTATATGCTTACATTTTGAAAGACTGCAAAATATTTCATCAAGTCCCGCTCCCATAATTTACTTTCAATATTTTAATGTTAGGTATTTATGTTGCTTCCTGGTTTTCACTTAATACTTTAATCTACATTATTGTAGATATTATTTTTATTATTTTTTGACTAATTATAGGTCTGGGATACATTTCTGAGTGTATTATGTTATCATTTTTTTAAATGTTTATTTATTTTTTGAGAGAGAGGGAGACAGACAGGGTGCCAGCAGGGAAGGGGCAGAGAGAGGGAGACACAGAATCCAAAGCAGGCTCTAGGCTCCGAGCTGTCAGCACAGAGCCTGATGTGGGTCTCGAACCGACAAACCATGAGATCATGATCTGAGCAGAAGTTGGGTGCTTAACTGACTGAGCCACTAGGTGCCCCCTGAGTGGATTGTGTTAAATGGAATGAATGTTGTTATGACTTTTGGTATATGTTGCCACACTGTTTTTCAAGAATGTTGTACCACTTTGTACTATTAGCAGACACATGGATGTACCTGTTTTACCAAAACTGGACAGAAATACATTGTTTCCTTAAAAGTTTTTGCTGATTTGGTAGTGTAAAGTGGCATTTGCTTTTCTTTGTTGTATAATGTTGAATATTATTCTTTGAATTTCTTCATGGTAAATTGTGCGTATCCTCTGTTATTCTATGCAGTACAGTATTGATGTGACCTTTGGATGGTAAGGCAAGTATAACCAGGTAATAATAGGTAATTAATAAAAAGATAACTAGAAGATATTCGGTAAAAACCTTCAAAGAGGTCTATATGGTTCGGGATCTTGGGGATACTTGGTTGAAGGGGAACTGACGGATTATGGCAAGACTCAACTTGTCAAATGTTTATCGGGCATCCACTTTGTACAGCGTGCCACGTTCCGTCCTGTGAGTGAGTCTCAGGTTGTCATCTTGGCCTCTACCTAGTTGGAGGCAGAGGCTACTTGAGAATGCTTGAGACTTGACCAGTGGGGACTCTGGCTGCTGAAGTCCCTTTGTGGCTGCTCTGAGGGCCGAGGGGGTCACCGCCGGGACTAGCTGTAGCTCATTCATGGCGCATACCATTTTGTCTCCACACAGTCTTTGAGAAACTGTCTTGTGAGGGATACAAAGATGAATAAAACATATTTCCTACTGACAAGGAACAAATCCTTTAGGAGGGAGAATAGAGGCACCAGGAAATGAAAGGACTGATAGCAGTTTGATAGGTGCTGTAAAAGAGGTTCAACCAAGGTGCTTAGGGTTTAGTAGAGGGATTGATACTGCCCCCTTGGGGATACCAGGGAACACTTCAGCTGATGAAGTGGCCTTTAAATTGACCCGCATGAAGATGAGAAGCAATGGAAAGAGGCATTCTGTAGGGAAGGGTAGCTTGAGCAGAGGCTGGGTGTTGGTGTCAGAATGAGGTGGGTGCCAGGAAGCTGCATGTCCAAACTACTCGGACCCTGGGAGACCTAAAGGAACGTGGTGGAAGGTGAGGCTGCCGAGAGGTCAGGACTGGGTTTTGGAGGGTCTTAAATGGCAAACTGAGGATGAGTATGATGGAATGGCAGTGAGGCGGAACAGAGAGGGGGACTTTAAGTGCATTCATGGTAATAGTCCGTGCGAGGGATGGATGATGAGGGCCTGAATTGAATCGATGGCCTTGGGAATGGAAAGGAGGTGATGGATTCAGGAGATATTTTGGAGGTTGAACAGAGTTATGCTGGTGGATTAGGTGGGAGGGGAAAGGAACAGTCTGTTCTGTGTCAGAAGTCAGTTCCAAGTCAGAGGTGATGTTGCGGTGTTTAAGCTTGGGTGGCTGGCAGAATGATGGGCAGCGGGAATAGAGAAGCCATCAGGAATAGGAAGAACAGGTCATAGGGGTTTGGAATAGAGAAAAGATGAATTTGCTTTTGTTTGTTGAGTTCCAGGAGCCTAGGTAGAAAGCTGAAGTCAGAATTTTAATCCTAGAAGGAACAGAGGAGGAAGTTCAGGGCCCAGAGGCATTAGAGGAACCAGAGAGGCCTCAGACCTCTTAAAACCAAGCACAGTTGGACAATGGGGGAGAAGAAGGGGGGAAATGGTGGGGGGAAGGGGGAGAGGCAAACCATGAGAGACTCTTGAATGCTGACAAAAACTGAGGACTGATGGATGTGGGGGGGAGGGGGGGTGGGCATGGAGAGGGGCACTTGTGGGGATGAGCACTGGGTGTTATATGGAAACCAACTTGACAATAAACTATTTGTAAAAAAAACAAAAAAAACCAAGCACAGTTGAAACTTCCTGACTCCCAGTCCAGTGTCCCCTTCCCTGCCTCACTGCTGATCACTGACGGTTGTCATCTGGGTGTTTTCCTCACACCCAGGTGTGCTCAGTAGAAAGTTAGAAGTGGCAGAGTTTATGTTGGGGAATGAGGACTTTCTTTTTTTATTTTTAATTAAAAAAATTTTTAATTACTTTTTTACTTTTATTTTTTATTTTATTTTAGATAGAGAGTGAGTGAGCACGGGAGAGGGACAGAGAGGGAGAGAGAGAGAGAGAGAGAGAGAGAGAGAGAGAGAGAATCCCAAGCAGGCTCCATGCTCAGAGTTCCTATTCTGCCTCAGACTTTGTGTTTTTGGGCAAATCCCTTAAGTCTTTTTAGTTTGTAAAATGGAGATAAATAATATAGCTTTGTAAAATCCCTTGAGGCAAGGTAAGTAAAAACCCTCTATGAACTCCAAACTTTGAGGCTAAATTATGATGCAGGCTTTAGTTGTCATTAGTAACAAAAAAGTAGTGCTGTTCAACTTCAGGATTCTGTGTTGTGGGCATAAAGTTGATCTGATTCAACAAATTTTTACTTTTCAGCACATACTTAGGTCAGGAACCTGGGGCTTCAGTAGTGAACAAAATAGACAAAATCCCAGCTCCCATTGAGTTCCTATTCTAGATTTGGAGGATAATAGTGAGCTAATGCTTTTATAATAGTGGGCCAGGCACTGTTCTAAGTACTTTCATAATTTAACCTATTTAATGCTTGTAAGAGACTTGCGAGGTAGATACTGTTATTATTCCCATTTTACAGATGTAGAGACCGAGGCAGAGTTAGGTAGGTTGTCTCAGTTGCAATGCCAAGGTTGAAATTCAGGCAGATCTGGATTCCAGCTTGTACACTCTTTTTTTTTTTTTTAATTTTAATGTTTATTTATTTTTGAGAGAGAGGGAGAGAGAACACGAGCAGGGGAAGGGCAGAGAGAGAAAGGGCGTCAGAGGATCCAAGGCGGGC